ACCAAAGACGTCCGCGTCAGCGTCGTCGTCGCCCGAGACGGCGAGCTCGACGAGCAGCAGCCACAGCGACGCGGTGCCTGGCCCCGTGCTGCCGGATGCACCGACCGAAGGCGCGTTTGCGACCGCCGTCTAAGCTTTTTCTTTTTTATATATACGCTCGTACTAGAGTAGTACGAGGATACTACTCGATGGATGCTATACGATCTTGATCCGTGGCGTCTCCATGTGGATAGTTTTGGATAGGAGGGTAGAACTTGCGATCGTCCGTGAACCGGATAGTACGTAGCCGTCCCCGGTGACGAGCGACGCGGTGGTGTCAATATTGTACACATGGAGAAGAGTGGACACAGGATGGCAGTCCCATGAGCAGCGAGAACACTATATAGTATTCACAGAGATGCTGGATAGTATTCGCAGAGATGCTGGATAGTATTCGCAGAGATGCTGGATAGTATTCGCACAGATGCTGGATAGTATTCGCACAGATGCTGGATAGTATTCGCACGGGGCGTCGAAGAGAGTACGCTGGCATGGATACGAGAGCCAACGCTACGGGATGCGAGCAGAGGAAACGGGATCAACATCGCAGAGTAAGCACAGACAGTATACTGGGTACTGCTGCAGAGGACACTGGATAGTAGAAAAACGACGCGCGTATATATATGCGTCGGCCAAGGAAGACGACTGGATTTGGAGTCGATCAGATAGGTATTACATTGGATCGTCGTAGATAAATCGCCGGTTCGGGATCGGATGGCGAGATCATTGCCACTTCTGCACGTTGTCGTCGGCCCGCTTGAGCTGCCAGAGCCGCGTCGCCGGGTTCAAGACCGCGTACTCTACGACCCGCATGAGCACCATCCATGAAGAGGAGGAAGAGGATGCAATCATGCAGATAATTAGGAAGAAAGAGGCGAACCTTGCAAGAGCGACTTGGCAATGTCGGCGGGCACGCCATGCGCCTCGGCAAACTCACTGCGCGAGATGGACGCGGATTTTTGAAACTAGAATCCAAAATGACGTGGCATCGCGAGCGCATCGAGAGGCCATCTCGTACCTCGTCGGCCAGCAGCGAACGGTACGCGACGTGGGTCTTGAGGAGCGTGCTTTTGGGCAGGAGGCAGCCGCGGACGATGGTCGCGACGCGGTCCACGCACGCGCGGAGCTCGTCAGTGGTCACAAACACCGGGAGCAGCGACCGGAGTTCCTTCCAGTGCAGCACCTTGTCTAGTATCCAGAAAGATCCATGTCAAAAACAACGATCCGAGCCCATCGGATTGGGCTACCGGTGGTGAGGATATCCAGAACCTTCTTGTCCAAGTCGTCGTTGCCGACCATATCGACGTCGTCCGAGGTGAGCGACGGCGTGCCCACGTCATCGCCGTTGCGGTAGCTGAGCGCACGGAGGTACGCAGCCGGTGTCACATCAAACTCGACCGGCGCCTCGGTCTCGCTGAAAAGCTGTTCGAACTCGTCCTTATCTTCGTCTTCCGAGACCACGCGCAGCGGGATCCACTTCTCGCTCTGGATCAAACCCCGCTTGTACGCGTACGAGCTCTGCATGGCCGCGAGCGCGCGCTCCGACTGGCGCTTCTTGAACTGCACCTGGACCTCTTTGACGTCCGGCGTCGCCTCGGCCTTCTTGTCGGTCTCGACGTCAGCCATGTCGTCGTCGGAGGCTTCGTCGTCCGACTCGTCGAGGTGCTGCAGCGATGGGCGCAGCTGCATGATGGTCGAGACCGGCGTCAAGTGCAGCTGGCCCTTTCGGAAGACACCGGCCGCGTAGTTGGAGACGGGCGTCACGACGCTGGAGGTGAGCGGCAGCATGGGCGGCAGCGGCGTGTGGTCCTCACTGTTGTAGTTGGTCTCGGTGTTGACCGGGAACTCGAGCGTGACCATGGCGTTCTCGGGCTTGTACTTGGCGCTCGCGGGGCGGTTGAGCATGCCACGGTAGACCGGTCGCAGCGGGTACTGGAAGACATGCCTAGCATTGTGCATGAGCCGATGCGCTTGACGACGAGGCCATGGCCATACAGGTTGCCACGCAGGAAGTCGGCCAGATGCACTGGGATCTCGCACACGACGGGGTCTTCCTCGGCCATGATGCTGCCACTGTAGATCTCGAATGGCAGCTCATTGGCTCACAAACCCTGGGCCTCGTGGATGTGGCATATGCCGAATGTAAGAGGCCACCTCGCTGCCCGCGCTCGTGGCATCGCCGCGTCGCCGCATGCCGCCATGCAGGGTACTATACGACCGCGCCGAACCTCCTCTATGGGCGACTTCTTGTGTGATGCGATTGCCGTCGCCTTGACGGGTCGAGTGGCGTATCGGCGCAGAGGCGATAGCGGCGGCGATGCCGATTTTAAAACGAAAATGCCGCGACGACCATGCTGTGGATCGGCACATGCCGAATCTACGTCGAACGCGGACAATGCCGAAACAAAGATTGGCCTAATTAGGATATCGTCACTAGCCGCAAGCAGATGGGTCATTTTGGCATGTTCAAAGCAAGGTAAGATGCGGATCCAGGCGGCGAAGATCGCAGCATGATGATCCTGGCGGTCATGGAATAGCAAGTACCGCAACCTCCTCGGGACGACGGCCCCGCGCGCCGAGTGGTACGAGGAGCTGCAGCTGGACGCGGGCCGCCTCGACCTGTACCCGCTGACGGCGTCGACGACGACGCTCGCGTTCGCGTCCCAGTACAACGGTACACTGCCACTGTCGGATCGCCATGGCCTCTCACGGCCTCGTGTAGCCGGCGCGGTCATCGAGGTCAAGGAACTGGGCCATGTTGGCAAGGCCAACGCGCAGTCGGCGCCGGTGCGGCCATCCTCGTCCTCCTTGCCCTGGCATCTCGTTGTAGGTGCGGCTCCTGCGCGGCCACACGCAGCGCGTCAACGCGATCGCCTTCTCGCCCTTCCATGCGTCTCTCTTGGCCTCGGGCGGCGACGATGGTCTGCTCAAGGTACTCGATGATCATGATGTGATGATACCGCTCATGCTGCATCCATGGGCTGCATCTAGCTCTGGCACCTCGCCGAGGATACCTGCGCGTGGACCAGCGACAGCTTCAATGAGAAGATCCTCTCGATTGCGTTTCACCCGTCGGCGAAAGACGTCCTTCACGTCGCGACCTCGACCGGACTGCACCTTATGTACCTCGACACGTCGACGTCGACGGCCATCGGCGTCCATCCCAATACAATCACGGGGACCACATGGAACGACGACGGGAGGTAGACGACGACATGCGTCATTTCCTGGCGCTGAACCTCCTTATAGCCTTGTGCTGTCCGTGTGCCAAGACAATATGGTGCGTGGCTGGGACCCTCGGACGGCGCATGAAGCGCTCGCTGCGCCCATGCACCAAGGTCGCAAGGCCGCGAGCATCGCGTTCGCCTATGACACGTACTGCGTCACGGCCGGGTTCAGCAAGCTCCAGGAACGCGAACTCTTTCTGTGGGATTGGCGGTCGATGACCAAGCCCATCGGGCGAGAGCGTGTCGACACGAGCACGGGCGTCTTGGCGCCGATGGTCGATCCGGATACCAAGCTGCTCTTCCTCGGTGGCCGCGTACGACGTTGGCTCGATGCTGACAATATTGTCCACAAAATCGTTCAACTATAGATTGCGTAGGGCGACCGCAGTGTCAAGGCGTACGAGATCCAGCCAAAGCACCCGATCTTTGCTCCGTTGCAAACCACCGCGGTCGCGACGTCGACGTGGGGGCTCACGCGCCTGCCCAAGCACGCTTGCGACACGAGCGTGTGCGAAGTGGCGCGCGTGCTGAGCCTCGGCGCTGGCACGATCGAACCGATCCTGTACACCGTGCCTCGAAAGGAAGCCGCGAGTGTGTTTCAGGTCGAGTCCACCTGCCATTTTGGACGTAAAAAGATGCAATTGTGACAAATGACATGGGGTAGGCCGATTTGTACCCCGACACGCGCGGGCCAACGCCGGCGCTCTCGGCTGCGCAGTGGCGCGACGGAACCACGGCACCGCCACTCTTGGAACCCGTGCGCCCGACATTATTGGCGTCGGTTATGTCGGCACCGGCGGCGGCGACGACGACGAGTGCTGTATCGGGGTGGAGCACGGGCCATGGGGCGCCACCGGCAGCCGCCGGATCCGCACCGGCACCGACAGCGTCGGTATCTGCCGCGCCGTCGGGCTGGGACAATATGCCGATGCGTCGACTCGAGCCAGAAACCTCGACGCGTACCCAGGGGACAGCAACGCCAACGCCGACCACCGAGACGACACCGGTTGCACCGACCCCGACGACGAAAACACCGACACCAAGCGCAGGGACACCGACGCAGTGGGCACCACCCGTGACGGCATCGGCGCCTGCGCCGCCACCGGCCGCGTCGGCGTGGAAGTCGGCGACCGGGTGGGGGCATGTGCCGGAAACGGTGATTCTGTCGACGCCGGCGCCACCGCCGTCGACCACGACCGAGCTCTCGGAGAAGGCCAAGCGTCTCGGCGCGCTTCAGGGCCACAAGGTACGCGCATCGCACACAGAAGATACCACACCATTGGATACCTACCATTGGATAATTGGATAGCTCAAGTATTTGACGGGGCGTCCGGACGCGCGGTCCGAGTCCTTTTTGAATGTCGCTGGCGACGGCAACGCGCTTGCGACCAACGGCGTCGTGTGGGCCGCGTCGGTGCCCGGCACGGGTGGTTCTATCCACGTCCATCCTTTGGATCGAAAGGGCAAGGTCTGTCTCCTTTCCGATATGGTTGGATGGTATGGATTTTGATCCAGGTGACGGCGCCCCGCGTGCTCCAACAACACAAGGCGTCCGTGACCGACCTCGCGTTCGCGCCGTTTGCATCCCATGTGCTCGCATCGGCATCGGACGATGCAACGATCAACGTACGTCGATCCTATAACAGTCGAGAGGTTGAGCTATGGGGCTATGCTATAGCTATGGGATACGACCAGGGATGCGTGCGTGGGGACACTCGTGGGCCATGAAAAGGGCGTGCGCTGCCTGAGCTTTCACCCGACGGCGGCGAATGTGCTGGCGTCTGGTGCGCTCGACGCGACCGTTCGGCTCTGGGACGTCGAGACAGGCGTCGTCCATCAAACCATCGACAAGTTTGACGAAGCGCCGTTCAATGTCTCCTTCAATGCGGATGGGTCCCTCTTTGCGACCATTACGCGCGACAAGGTCCGTGAAGAACGCGGGATATTCCCTCATGTCGTCGTGATCTTCGTTAGGTTCTCCGCGTCATCGACCCGCGGCTGAACCAAACGGTCGGCATGGCTTGTGCCCATGCGGGCAGCAAGGCCCAGCGTGTGACGTGGTGTACGCAGCAAGCATCGTCGCTCTTGTTTACGGTACGCTGTTCGAGAGGACGACGGCGCGTCATCGTCGGGGCGCATGTAGGTCGGGTTTAGCGCGCGGAGTGAGCGCCAGATTTGTCTCTGGGACGCGCGCAACCTCCTGGATCCGGTCGTGACCACCACCATGTACGACCAGATTCTTAGATTCTTCGATTCCTTGTCTCGTTCTGATGTACGCGACGTCTAGTGATACGTCTGGAAGTGCGTTGCTGCCACTCTACGATAGCAGTTCGCATGTCATGTACCTTGTCGGGCGTGGCGACCGCACCGTGTTGTGCTATGAGATTGACACGGTTCGAACCCCGGTATCGCAAAACTTTCTTTTTGAATTTCTGCCTTTTAGGTCCAGCCCGCGCTATTACCGTGCTCGATCTACTCGTTCAACGGACCGTCCATCTCGGCGGCGACCTTCTTGCCCAAGCAACACTGCAACGTGCAGGTCCTTATCCTCTTTTTGTACCCCATCGATCGCATCATTGTCTCTAGGACGTCGAAGTGTCTCGGATGCTACTGCTGACGTCGGGCGCGACGATCGAGCCCGTGGCGTTCGTCTTGCCGCGCGCCGAGAAGCTCAGAGCTTATTTTCAAGACGACGTGTATGGCCCTGTGCCATCGAATGAAGCCAGTGTCTCGGCGGCCGATTGGTTCCTCGGGGCACCCGCGCCGCCGAAGTACACGTCGTTGCAGCCCGCCGGTACGTCCATCCAAAGACGCGTCCTGACCGTCGTATGGCGCGTAGGCATGCTCAAGCTCAGCGAGAAGCCGCCCGAGGCCGTCGTGATTCCTAAAGTCGTCAACTTTCAAGCGCAGAAAGAACGCGAGCTCCAGGAACAGAGAGACCGGGACGCCAAGTTTGAACGCCTCCACTCGCTCGCGTACCAGCCGTCGCTGCATGCGAATGCGACGCAGAGAACGACCGATGCCGACAGCGACGACGACGGCTGGGACGACTAGATTGCTGGTGGAGCTCCTTTCGGGTGCTTGAACTCGATCGATCGAGGGCTTACAGTGTATATATCCATCTATTATATTCGACTAGAGCGACCGCAGCATGGCCGGCGGACGGTACGGTCGTCGGAGGTCATTGAGCATCTCGGGCGACTCCCGATGCCCGTTCTATGATCATGCTCGTCGGATTGCACGCAACTCTGCTGGCTACCTGGTCCAGAGGCGGCGTTGGCTCGAGGAGGACTTGGGTGGCTTGCTCGAGGTAAAAGCTGCTGTCGACCGAAGCCACGTCGCTCTCGTGGTCGAGCAGCGGCGTCTAAACGAAGACGCGATCATCAGTAGTATGTTTTTTGTGTGGAAGGCACGGAGAGCGGTGGTTTTTGAGGTTCGTGCTGGGCGAGGTAGTAGACGCCGACGAGGATACCTACGAATGTATTTTGAACACGAGACAATAGACAATATTGGGTACAGGCAAACGCGAGCAAAAACGAAATGCTCTGGAAGAATTCGAGCCGCGCCAAGTCCCCGTAAAACACCATGCCGCCGACGACGCCAAACTAGAGAAAAGTGTTTCAAAGACTCAAAAAGGCCAAAAAGCAAATGTACCGCGATCCAAAAGACCTGGAAAATTGGAAACACGACTGCAATGTCGCCGCGCATGAGCGCTTGGTTGAACCAATGGATCTGCAAGAGGACGGTGCCCAGCATGCCCCCGAAGAAGAAATAGGTGGTCGGATGGGTAAACTGCGACGGGCCTTCGAGACTCGTCTTGACCATCTCGGACGCACACTAATACATGGATGGATGAGGTCGTAGTCCACGGAAGAGTTGTCTATATATGTGTGTGTACCTTGCCAAGCAGCATCGAGATCGAGCCCGTGATCCCTGACACCTATCCGCATCCAAGGTTGGATTCGGATGTCTTTTGGATCGAGCCAAGCAACCTACCGTCGCATACAAGGTCGGCTCGATATTGGTGCACGTCTCGTCGCTGCAGCGAAGGAAGCGGCGGAGGCGGCTCTGACCCCGCCCGCTCCACAACACCCGACTCTAGCATATGCGGTGCATCGGCCAAGCGCCATCATCATCCTCGTACCTCGCTCGAGGTGGCATCTCGCTCCGACTGGATGAGGATAAGGAGGTAGCCGATGAGCCCGCCGAGCACCAGCAAGTAGGCAAGCACGACCGGCGATTCGAACCGGCTCACGAGCTACGAGACAGAGACATCGATACACATCGACGACAAAGTGTGTACTTGGTCGATGTTGTATTCTTCGTCTTGCGGCGACGAGAGCGCAATGAGAAGCACGCCGAGGAGGATGCAGATCGTGCCGTAGGCGTCCCGGACCGTCAAGCTCTCGCCGTGCCAGTACGTCGAGAAGAGGACGTTGGTGACGACGGTCGCGCCGCCACCGACGGTCGCGACCAGCGACTGCGTCGCAAAGCTACAACGCGTCTAAGACCCGCCCAATAGAGTTGACAGCACGGCCGCACCTGAGCGCCTCAAAGTCGCCAATCGACCCGAGCACGACGAGCGCCAAGCCAAGGACCCATTGCCGCTGACCAAAGTACGCGGTCTCGTTGTCCGTGGAGGCGTGCGCGAGCTTCTGCAGCTGGACGCCGCAGTTGGAGACGACGGCGGCGGCGATCGTGATCCCGAGGCCGACGAGGTTCGCTGCGTCGAAGAGCGTCGTGTCGAGCGGAAGGCCGACGTCATCGCGCATCGGGGCGAGTCCCGGCGTTGCCATCGACCGTCCAAACGATCTTTTGGTCGAAGAGACGCCGAAAAACCGTCGAAAACAGCAGCCTTTCTGGGCGTCCGTCGTATGGTTGTACATGGCTGCCCACTACTGTACACCGGTTCGAAGCGCACGCCAAACGATGACTTTATGTGGAGTACGATCAAGGATGCGTCTTCACGGTGTGTCATTGGGACAATCCATTTTAACAAAGGGCGAATGTGCCTACCCTTGACGTGCAAGGCAATACGGTCTACCGCGCGTGCCACAGCTTGTATTACTTGTGCAGTACAGTAGCCACGATACAGGGCAGTAGACGAGCACGACGAAGAAGGGCACGCCCTTGGGACCGCGGGCGAGCCTGCAAGGTGGTGTGTTGAATGTTCTGGCGTTCTCGCCCGCCTCACGGTATCATAGCACATCGCCACCGATCGCAGGCAGCAGCAAGAAGTGAGATGATGCATAACGAGATCGCTGGTGCGGCGGAATGTGTGCTGTGTATGCATACGACCAAGGTCCCTTGCAGACTCTGACGGACGCGGCTGGTGCGGGCGGTTGGCTTTGGAGGACAATGTCGGCGTACGATGGGCGGTCTGCGTGCGATCTGTACCAAGCATCGACGACCATGCTCGTCATTGCGCCGTACTGGCGAGCTTGCGCTGCATCGCTCGATGGCTGTGAAAAACAAGCGTCCCAACGCCGTTTTGGCCCCACACGCCGGGCAAATCGCAGTGGCGCCTTCGCGCGAGGTGCTGCATGGCATGCACGAGTCAGCACCGATGCGCCAAGGGCCTACACGTCGTCGTCCGAGGCGTGGATGGCCTCGAAGCGGTCGCGCTGGCGGCCACCGCTTACACCAGGCGGTATGGCCGATTCAAACTATGTGCCGGATACTGTCCGGATACGCCGCCCCGGCAATTCAAACTTTGAATTTCAAGGCCATCGGCAAGCGCGGCAGGAGGTCCACGAAGACGCGGGCTGGCTGCATGGAGACGTCGCGCGAGGTAGACGATAGACGACGAAGGGCCAGCATGAGCACTGAGAGAAAGGACGATGAGGATGGACGCCATGCGCCCAAGCGCCAGCGGCTCGGCGACGCCACGACGGCGACGCTCACGACGATGCGCAGCAAGAAGCGATACTCGATCGCCAACGAGTTTGAGCGCGAGATCAGCGCGGTCAGCGGCGGCGCCTTTGCCTCCTCGTCGTCGTCGCCGCGCCAGAGCCCCGTTAAAGCGACGCGGCGCGAGACCATTTCGCCGACCGCGCAGCAGGAGCTCCGCCTACCGGGTCGCCGCGAGACGCTGTCGCCGCGCGGCTTTCTCGCCCTCGAGTCCATGATGCGCGTGCCCAACGAAGTCGACGA